GAAGTTGGGTTAATCAGGGAAGTGGGGGAGCCTGCAGAAGAGCAAAGGGCGGGGAACCCGTCCGAGGTGTGGGAGGAAAAGCAGGGAGGAGGGAGATGAGGAGGAGCCGCCGGATAAGGAGGAGGAGAAGGAGGAGGAGGAGGAGGACGAAAAGGAAACGGGAACACGGACGAACATAAGAGTTGTTTTTTGGGATGTCCCTTGAGAATGTTTAGAGGGCCTCTTGGAACCCCTGGAGGGCATTTTGGGTGCCTCGGGATCCTCTTGAAGCCTCTTGGGTCCTCTTGGGGGCCTCTTGGAGGCATCTTGGGTGCTTGTTGGGGCCGTCTGAGCGCCTTTTGGGGCCCTCTTGGGGCGCTCTTGGGTGCCCTGGGAGCGCTCTTCGGGCCGCCGTCTGGCTGACCCCCACCCGCCCTCCCAATACATAAGTAACACCCGAACTTGAGCATGTTCAGCGGTCGCTTTTGGATGGACAGCTACCGACCCCAGGTGCGTGACGCTTGGGCGAGGTGCGCCACGCGTGCCAGGGGCGCCACGCGCGCCAGGCACCCCTTGGGCCCGAGCGTGCCTGGCTCGCCTGGTGCGCCAGATGCGCCACGTGTTTCGAGTGCGCCAGGCGCGCAGCACACTCCAGCCGCGCCAGGTGCGCCATGTTCGGGGCACGTGCAGGGTGCGTCAGGTGCGCCTGCGCACGTGACACCACACATCGGGAAGCATGTCGGCCCCCGCCATCCTTGTTGAAAGCCCCAAGGCCCATTGTTGTGTCTGGTGGGCCTGCGCACGACAGGCCACGCACCACCACCCCCGCGGTCCCGGTCAAAAACCATGTGACAGTGATCGCGGGATGGCCGCGCATGATCCAGATTTAGCCGCGAGGTGCATGTCGTCTTGTTTTTTGTCAGGAATGGTAGCCTTGCGCACGGCAGGGGATGTGCTGGCACCCCCTCCGTGCTTGTCTACAACAATACCACGTTTTCGGGGGCCTCACAGACATAACTCAAGACTTTGCCCCAACGTGTACTTTGCATTTTTTTGTTGACGGGGATGGTGGCGGGGGGGCCGCATCGGGTTGTCGAGAAACGATTCAGGACAAAAAGCCGGCAGTGTGGAACGGATCGGGGCTTTCCGAGGACCCCGTCGTGGCAAGTTCAGGACGTCGGATTTCTCGGATGGGAGCGCCGCCATCTTTTCACTTTGGGCGCATTCGCGCGGCCTCGGGCCCCTGGGGACCCCTGCGGATCGATCCGTCTCGAGGAGCACCGACGGGAGGTGGAGCTTTGTTCGGGGGGCCCCAAACGGTGCGGTGACCACACCGTGCGGTGAGTCGGTGGGGATTCGGGGTCACCGCATGGTTTTGGGACTCGGGTCGTTCTCCCAGGACGTCTCGGGCGACAGGGACCTCCGGGGTCCCAAGACTGGGCGGTGACGGACCGTGCGGTGAGGTCTTGGGGGACATCGAGGTCACCGCACGGTCTGTCACCGCACCGTTTCGGGACTTTCAATTTGTGGCTCCCGCCGTGATCTATTGCGTTGTGGCATCTTTGTCTCGCGCTGTCGGGTCTGAGGGGAGGCACCTCTTCAGGTGTTCTCGGGCCTTGGGAGCGCTTGACGTTCTTCTGGACCGCAGCGCTGGCGAAGAACTAATCGATCAATGTGTATATATGTATACATACAAGCATTTCATGTATACGCATACACATCTACACATACATATGCATACACATGTACATTTACATTGACGTATATATATATATATAAAATATATGCACGCAAACGTGCACATCACATGTACATATACATGTCTGCATATGCGTGTATATATATATATATATATACATTGCCAGTGCATTCCGCATCTATATGTATATACATATATACACATGTATTTGTGTGTACATATATATGCAGGTATCGCTATGCATTGTTATACATACATATTATCTGTGTGTGTGGCACGCCTTTCTGTTTCTGAGCTGGGTCTCTTTCGGGCTCTGCCATCTTCGGCCAGTCGCCCGATTTCGCCGCGCTGCTGCGCGCGTGGCCGCGACGCCAACAAGTGCGTGTTTGTGCGTCTATGTGTGCTGCACTCGTGCGCGGCAGTGTGTGGCTGTGTGCGTGTGTCTCTGTGATCCTGGCCCCGCCAGTGTGCTCACGCCTGACTCGACCTCCGCCGTGCCGCCGCGCGCGTGGCCGCGACGCCCAACAGTGTGTCAGAGTGTGTGTGTGTGTGTGTGTGCGCGCGTGTGTGTGGCGGCCGCCCGCCTCCCCCTTTTTCCCTCTCTCTCTCGCACGCTGAGTTTTTCGGTGCCCCCGACTCCGCCGCCGACGGAAAAGTGTGTGTGTGTGTGTGTGTGTGTGTGTGACACCCCCCGCGCCCTCCGGCCGCCTGAGGCCCGCGCCTAGCTCTTAACCGGAAGAGGCCCGCTCTCGACCCGCAGACCAAAAAGTGTGTGTGACACTGAATGTGTGTGTTCTCGACCCACAGCCCGCTTCTCAGCAGCTCAGCGGGGCTCTTGCAGCATCTTGCTGCCGCGAGCCATCGCGGCCCTACCCCCCATTGGCTTGGACCCTTCTGCATCCGTCAGCCCTCCCGTGCAGCAAGGCCTGCCACCCCGGGCCTTTCGACGACCGGTGACCACCTGGACGCTGCCCACCCGGGTGGGCTCGCTCGCCGCTCCTCTTCCAGTACTGGTGCTACTCGGTCCTCGTCTGCGCACTGTCGCCTGCGCCCCAGCCCCTGGGTCTGGCCGCGAAGCCGATCCGCGTCCACTGCCAGGCCGCGCCAGCGGAGGACGACGGCAGCCCGGCCACTCCAGCCGACGTGCTTCGAGCTGTGCGTGCCCTCCCTTCGTTCCGCTCTCCGCGGCCGCGCTCCTCCTGGGTCCCCCCTCGTGCCGCCGGGCTGGCGCCTGCCACTGCCTGGCTCACTGGAGCGCGCGTGCGGACTGCCTCTGCCGCGCTGCGGCGAGAAATTCTGGGCCGGCCGCGCGCGTCTCTTCGCCCGGCTTTTCTCCGCCGCGCCGCTGCGCGCGTGGCCGCGGCGCCGAAACGTGTGCGTGCGTCTGTTTGTCACAGTGTGTGTGTGTGTGTGTGTGTGCGTGTGTGTGTGTGACGGTCTGTGTGGGTCTGTGTGGGTCTGTGCGTGTCTGTGTATGTCTTTGTATGTGTCTGTGTTTTTTTGTTTTGTGTGTGTGTGTTTTGGTCTACGTGTGTTTTGTGAGTGTGCGTGCTGCGTGTGTGTGTGAATGTGCGTGTGCGTGTGCGTTTGCGTTTGCGTTTGCGTATGTGTGTGCGCGTGTGTGTGTGTGTGTGTGTGTGTGTGTGTGTGTGTGTATGTGTTCGTCTGTGTGTGCGTGTTCGTGTATGTGTGTGTGTGTGTGTGAGCGTGTGTGCGTGTGCGTGTGTGTGTGTGTGCATGTGTGCGTGTGCGCGTGCGTTTGCGTGTGCGTATGCGTCTGATGTGTGTGTGTGTGTGTACGTTACAGTGTGTGTGTATGTGTCACAGCTTTTTTTTTTTGTGTGTGTGTGTGTCTGTCTGTCTGTGTGTCTGTCTGTCTGTCTGTCTGTCTGTCTGTCTGTCTGTCTGTCTGTGTTTATGCGACAGTGTGTGGGTGTGTGTGCGCGTGTGTGCGTGCGCGTGCGTGGGTGGGGCGCCCTCCTGCGCGACGGCGGGCCGGGGCCTCCAGTCCGCCTCGCTCGGTCCACGGCGCGGGGTGCAGCCCGCTCGACGCATCGCACCTGCGTCTCGTGCTGCCACGGCCGAGGCGTCGCTGCGCCGCCGGAGGAGCAGGGCGTGGCTCGGCCATGGGCGGATCGAGGCCTCGCCGAGGAGGTCCGAGCAGGTGGGGCCCGAGGGTCGCGCCGCGCCTCGGAGGGGGGCCGCTTGATACCCCGGCAGTTGGCCTTCGGGGGGGACCCCCTTCGCCGCCGGCGGATTCGGTGGCAGATCATGGGAGCCTCGTCCCTCGTTCTCTTCGTCATCGTCCTTGTGCTTCTCTTCCTCCTCGTTGTCCTCATGCACCCCCTCGCTATCCTCACGTTCGCCACGCCGTCCTCGTCATCGACTCCTCGTTGTCCTCGCCTTCCTTTTCTTCTTCGCCCAATACGCCCATTAGACTACAGCGGCGCTTCCCGTTCTTGTCCGATCAGGTTCGGTGGCAGATCATGGGAGCCTCGTGTGCACTTGTAATCTTGTCTCTGGCGTCGATCAGGCATGATTTGGCGTCGGTTGGCGTCGATCAGCGCCGATGTAGCGTCGGTTGGCGCATATTTAGCGTCGATTAGCTTCGACTTGCAGGAGCCGACAAGATGGTGTGAAAGGCTCCAATGAGTTGCCACCGAACTCGGAGGAGCAGAGCGTGGCTCGGCCATGGGTGGATCTAGGCCTCGCAGAGGAGGTCTGAGCAGATGGTGTCCGAGGGTCGCGCTGAATCGCCGATGCATCGCCGACGCGGCTCGATGCGGAGCCCGATTTGGCCCGCGCTGGCGTCGCCGATGCACCGCCGACGTCGTGGATGTATCGCCGCTGCATCGCTGATGCTCCGGCGATGCGGCGCGATCCTCCCACTCCATCAACTCTGACCCGATCCAGGAGGCCTCTAGCGGATCCCCCACCCGTGCGCTGTTGCCCGGCGGCGCACAAGTTTGACGAAGGTGCACTGCCATCTCATGGTAGTGAACCTTTTGCAGGTGTATGTCCTTGCGTTCGTCCTCTCCCTCTTCCTGCTCCCTGCCATCTTGCTTCCCTCTGCCTCTACTCAGGAGCGAAAGAAGGACGTACATGTACAAGAATCCACGCTGGTTTCGAGAGTACGCATTGCGCAAATGTTCGTATGACGCGGCCGGTCTCGCGGATCGAGGAGCCGTGTTCATGTACATAGCTGGGCGCGTACGTACTTTGTGGGCTCCCTATCTACCTGCTCCTCTTCCCCCCAGCCTGGCTCGGCAGCAGGACGCGGTGGAGCGAGTTCTCGAGCGGCACCTTGCCCGACGGGCGGGCGATGTTCCCGGGCGTCGATTGCGCCTCCTGCAAGACGGTCGGGGCCTCTCCTCCAGAAGACGGCTACCATCAATAACGCATATATGCACATATATGTGACAATATATATATATATACATCTGTATATACACAGTCGTCCGGAGATGTGTGCATTTCGTTCCTAACATGTTCCGCTGTGAGTGCCTGGCTGTGAGTGTACGCGTGTGAGTGTGAGTCCGAGTGGACGACGGGCACGACGACGACGACGACAGCGGAGACGACGACGACGACGACGACGACGACGACGACGACGACGACGACGGCGGCTACGAGGAGGGACAACGATGGCGACGACAACGCACAGGGCAGACACGCGGTGTACAGTCCACCGTCCCCTCTCAGACCTCTCCCTTCTCGCAGCGCCTCCCTTCTCGTCCTCCCGCCTCCCTCGTCCTCCCTGGCGGCCGTCATTGTCCCTCCTCCTGCGTCCTCCTCCTCGTCCTCTCTCCTCCCCCGTTCTCGTTCCAGCACTCCTCCCTGGCAAGTGCCCCCCCCCCCCCCCCCCCTGGGCGGCCTGCTCCCCTCTCGCTCCTCCTCCTCATCTTCCTCCTCGCCGTAGCCCCTCCCCTTCTCTCCCTCCCTCTCCCTTCTCATTCCTGCGGTGTGCTCCCTCCTCCCTGGCGGCCGTCGCCCTCCTTACCTCGAGGTGGTCACGGGGCTCCGATTGGACGGGGGCCGCACGTGCCAAACGGGCGCCTCGCCAGAGCAGTCCCCACAGTTTGGCCACGAACAGGCGCGGCCAGTGGCCTGCCCCCTGGCGGCTCCCCCGCGTGGGGCGTTGGAACTCGCACCTCTCCAGAAGCATCCTCACGATGAGTCCTCAAACTGGAGCTCGCACTGGTTCAAGCACTCGCTAGAAACAGCTAGAACTCGCGCTTCTCTAGAGAAACATTCTCTAGAAACATCCTCGTGGAAGCTCGCACTTCTCCAGAGACGTCCTCACACCCTGCCCCGAAAGCAACAACGGAGCCTGCGCCAGCAGTCGAGCGAGCTCTGCTCGCTCGAGGCATCCCTTTCCCCACACAGTCCGGCCGCGAGCCGGCCGCCGCCGGCTCGCCATCTTAAAACAGGGCTAGGATCGGGATAAATCGCTCCAGAGCGTTCTGGAGCGCTCTCAGAGCGTTCCGGAACGCTCTGGAGCGGCCGCGGCGCCCAATACATCCTCCAAACCCGCCGATTCTCAGAGATTTCGACTTATCCCGATCCGATCTTGTCCCGATCTTCGCGTCGTTTTACATCTCCCGGGTGCGGCAGCGCGCGGCCCCGCTCGAGGCAGCCTCGGAAGCCTCGAGGAAGGCGGCGGGGCCGCTGGGCGACCCACCGGGCAGGCCGCTCGGCACGCCCCTGCGGGCGAGGCCCCTCGGGGTGCCGAGGGCAGCGCCCCGCTCGACAGACATCCTCGCGGTGGAGTTCTGTCAGGAGGGGAAGGAACACACAGACACAATTCATCGTCGATCCCCAGGAAGATATGGGAAACTATGGGAAGTGGGGGGGAAGACGAAAACCCAGAAAGTGTTGGAAAATATGGGGGAATGGGGCCACGAAGCGCTTTACTGGGTGGGTGAAAATGCCAAATGCGGGCGGTCCCGCCAAATTGGGTGTGGGGGACGCATGCGGGCGGTCCCACTGGGGGCTTCGGTGGGGCTCCCTATTGGGCCACGAAGCGCTGAACTGGATGGGTGAAAATGCCAACTTGGATGTGGGGGACGCATGTGGGCGGTCCCACTGGGGGCTTCGGTGGAGCTCCCTGGGGAGTCACGAAGTGCTGTACTGGGTGGTTATTCGTGTCTGTTTGTTTGTGTGTCCCAGTTTGCCTCCGTCCTGAGCGCAGAGGAGTCTCTTGGGCAAGCAGAGGGGCAGGCCGCCCGGGGCGTCCCCACTGTCTGGGGCGCGGGCGGGGCCGTGGCGCGACCCCGCCCCCTGGCGCCCCCCCCCCCTGGGGCTGCGGGAGCCGGCGCCTCGCCCCGAGAGGGGTCCGCGCACGAGCTGCTCTGAGAGCAGGTCGGGGGCGGACAGGCCTCCTCCTCCTCCTCCTCCTCCTCCTCCTCCTCGCCCGAAGTAGAAGGCTCGGTCACAAGGGCCGCGGCGTGTCTTTGGCCACGACCGCGCCCCCTCGGTGGGCCGATCCTCCTCCTCCTCCTCCTCCTCCTCCTCCTCCCCCTCCTCCTCCTCCTCCTCCGGCGCGACGCGCCAGGCACGAAGAGCCGCGCAAAGCAGCACTACGCCCCAAGCGCTCAGGACTCGCACGCTTAGCGTGCGCTGTTCTTGGGAAGCGGACCCAGTGGGTATCAGCATTCACTGAAGTCATTCTTGGAAGCGCTACTGCAGCGCTGCTGCAGCGCTACTCAGCGCTCATTCACTAATCCACGTGTCAGGGTAACCCTGACACGTCGATTAGTGAATTGTCCGTTGTCGATTCTCTAGAGGGCGCCGCGGCCGTCATGTTCTAGGCTTGCGCCTGCCAGGTTTGGGCGCCCGAGGTCGTTTTCACGAAACCCACGATCCGGGCGCGAGCGGGGCAGTGGTGCAACCGCTCAAGCAGTGGCGAAGCGTCCTGGCTCGCTTATGCCCCTACCAAAACATGTTCTAAGATTTTTTTGTGGTTTCCACGAAATGTTCTTAGAACCTGTATGGTTGATATCGTCTTGTTTTGACACATCGGTCTCATGTTCTAAGAACATTGTTTTTTATTAGGGAACATTTTTGGTTTTGGGGGTTCTAATAACATTTCGTGGTAGGACTATAGGAATGCCGGGACTCTCGGTCCCTGCTCAAACCACCTCTGGCGGCTCCCCTCGGGGTGTTGCTCGCTCGAGATATCCTCACGATCTTGCTCGGAACGCAAAGGAGTCAATACAGACAGACCGCCCTGGAGATCCCCGCAGTCCGGACGCGAACGGGTCCTTTGGCGATGCCGTGGCCACTTGTCCTTGAGGTGTTTCGTGGCGTGGCCACTTGAGGCCGTCTTGACGCGGTCTGGGGGCCGCGGGGAACATGTTAAAAGCTACCTTGTGCGACCCTTCACTGTCCGATGCAATGTCGGAGGTCATCTTGGGTTCTGTAAGGCCGTACTGGAGCAGTATCAGCCCATCTGGAGCGAACAATCGCCTCTCCCCGCCGCCCCCCCCGGCAGACCCAGGAGGGAAGGGTAAGGCGAGGGGTGATCCCTTCTCCGAGACAGTATAAGGTGGGGTAGAAGAGGCAACGCTCTAGAGACCACCTGCGCCCAGGTGGCTGGTGGGACTAGACCTTGGCTATGGTATGTCCTGGGGACAAGTCCGGCTTCACCATGGCAAGCCTTCTTTGATCTGGACCGTCGTACAGGGTCGGGCTTGAATGAGGAACGCTTACTTTTCAAGAGGGACTCGGTCGTTCCTTTGGTTTGCATGCGTTCCGCTACCTTTTTGGCGGCGAGTTCGCCTGGTCTTGTTTCGGACGTCCTAGAATTACTTGGAAAAAGGGTCTCAGTTCCTTATGTATCGTTTCTTAGGTCGGGCCGAACACTGTATGGCACATTCTAGTTCAGCAGCTCTGAAAGTCACCACGCTGCATAATGAGACACGCGGTCGGCACGCCGCGGCACGGCACGTTCCCCCCGTGCTCTGAGACAGCCTGGCGCGGCGCGGCACGGCACGCCAGTTCGTGCTGCGTGTTGTGCCCTTGTCTGCGCTCCCGAGCCCCAAACGCGGCACGGCATGCGGGCACGCCACGGCACGGTGGCGTTTCTGCACCCCTCGTCGCGCCCGAGCGCGGCACCGCACGGAGGGCACGGCGCGGCGCGGCGGAAGGCGCCGCACGCTCGAAGCCGAGCGCTGCACGGCACGCGGCCATGGCACGTTGGCGTGGCGCGGCGGGCACTGCTCGCGGGCACGGCACGACGTTGCAGCCTGTATTCCCTGTCTCGGCACCAGGCACGCCGGGCAGGGCACGGCACGGCACGGCACGTCTGCCGCATTTTCGACACGCAGCACGGCACAGCATGCCTCGGCACGGCATATGTTCCCTCCATCTTCGACGCAAGGCTGAAGGGGCCCCAGGACACACAAATAAGTACACACAAATCAAGAGATCCCCCATATTTTCCCATATTTTCTGGGTTTCTGTCTTCCCCACCACTTCCCATATTTTCCCATATTTTCATGGGGGTCGACGATTAATTGTGACTGTGTGTTTTTTCCCCTCCTGAAAGGCACGGCACGGCAGGGCACGCGGGCCCAGCCACCGGAAGGGACCGGGACTGGGAAAGGAGGACGCCAGCTTCGTCCAGACCGCCTGGAGGGCCCTGAAAGAAACCACAGGCGCGGCACTCAGGCCGCGTCTAGGCTGGAAGGCCGCCCCCTGGGAGCGGGGGCGCCCCGGGCACCTGGAGGGGGAAGAGTTGGAAGAAGCCCATCGCTATGAGGCTCTCTCTGGGGGAAGCGGCCTACTTGTCGCTCTCTCGCAGCCGAGCAGGGCTCGGCACGGCAGTGTTGCTCGCATCCTCGGAACTACGCACGGCCCGGAACGAGGGCACGGCACGGCGAGGCCAATTCTATTCGCACGAGCCAGGCACGGCACCGCACGCGGGCAGGGCACGCGTGCACGGCACGGCACAACATTGCAGCACGTCGCGGCAGGTGGCATGTTTGTGGCATCCACGAAACCAATCACGGCACGGCACGTGGGCACGGCATGGTTCAGCTTTTGTTCCCGCACGTTCGAAAACCCAGCGTGGCATGGTACGCCGAACGCAGAGCACGCCCGCACGACAGGGCACGGCTATTTGCTCGCACCTTCGAAGCCAGGCTCGGCATGTCATGCGGGCAGGGCACGACACAGATTTGATTGGCTATCTCGAAACCACGTACGGCACGTCGCGCAGTCACATCACGGCACGGGACGGCACGGCATTTATTTCGATGCGGACAGTTGCAACGACCGCTTTCAATGGACAACAAGAAACACCAAGGGCGTTTCTCTGCGGCACTTGGGCCTGCCATGCCCGGCGCCAGGGGCCAT